TGCAGATTTCTTATATTTTTTCTTCTACCCTGAAGATGGAGGCGATACGTTCCTCCGAAACGTCGGTTAACACCACATATACACGGTGCCAAATCCCAGAAGACTGCTTTCTTCATAGTCACCGCCGTGAAAGCCTCAAATCTTACACAGAATTGTTATGAGTTTGAAATAATATAAAATATCGAAGATGTTGTGAGTATGGGGCACGTATGAAAGAAATGAGATATGCATAAAAAATTTTGTCTGAAGATCTGAATGGGAGTAACAGTTGGAAGATCTAAGCCTAGATACGAAATTTGTATTACGTTAGAATTTAAATAGCGTAGGTTGGCGTTCACTTCATTGGTCCGGCCCAGGAGAGATCCCATTGGCTGTGTGGGGGGGGGGCTCTTCTAAATGTTGTAATGAATTATCAGGATACGTAAAAGCAAGGAATTTGTTCGGTAGCTGAGGCTCTGTTAGTTTGTAAAGGAGGACGTCTCTCCATTCAGTTAATAATAGAATGGAGTTTGACAGTATCCGGCAGAACCCTGAAGCGCCTCGACAGTGGGGTCATGCGCATGCGTGAAGTGCACTTAAATGTTGTGTGACGGGCCCTACTTGATGAGAAGGGCGTCCGACTCATCTGCTTGAGGACGCACTCATAAGAAATTACTTTTATTCCTGTGTATCTCGCCACTGGCTAATATTTATTTCTCTTTTTTTACAGCACAGCTACGATGTCGTACCGTCAAAGAATCCGGCTAAAGCCAAGCAGGTAAGAAGGAATATTCACCCTTCCAGCCGTAATTACATAACAGTGCCTGATTAATTTTAATGCTTCCGAGTGGATCGGTAGCCGAGAGGTGTAAAGCACGAAATATTTTCGCCCAACCGTAACACCCCGATCGTGGGCTCGATTCCCATTTGAGTCATAGGTATGTGTTTTTCCTGTGTTTGTCTTGTGTAAATAGAGTCCTTGCAGTGGGCTGATCCCTTGCCCAAAGGGTCCTACCCATTATCTGTAAGATACATAAGTTCAGATTAATTCGGAATAGTAATAGACCGGAGTACCTAATTCGTCTTCAAAGGAAGAAGAATAAGACTTTAGGGTGTTTACATCTTTGTACTACATGCAGTCCAGTCAGCCGGTATAGCGATTGGCTACGGGCTGGACGACAGAGAGGTCGGAGTTCGAGTCCCTATAGGTTAAAGAAATTTCTTCACGTCCAGACCAGCTCTGGGGCCCACCCAGACTCCGATCCAATGGATAACGGGGGTTCTTTCGCCGGGGGTAAAGCAACCGGAGCGTGAAGCTGACAGCTCACTTCCTGCTAGTGCCGAGGTCAAGAAAATGTGGGTCTATACATCCACTTCCTCGTACGCCTTCATTGCGTAATGCTTAATTAGTTAAGCACAGAGTCAACTTTACTTTTTTTTTTCTTGGCATTACAGCCCCAGTGGGCCTAGGCCTACCTCCATGAACTTCTCCGTTCACTTCGGTTTTTCTAGATCTTACACGTACGGTAGGACTCCTTGGGCGAGTGATCAGCTCGTCGCAAGGCCTCTACCTGTACACAAACACAGGAAAACCCACACAAACATCCATGCCCTGAGTGGGATTCGAACCCACGATCTCGGCTTCCGAGCGAGCGAAGACAGTTCATGCCTTAGACTGCTCGGCTGACGTGACCGGCCAACTTTAACTTTTACTAGAGGGAATTAAAAAAAATGTTAAGTAATTTTAAATTTTTCTAAAATTATAACTGGTCATGTAGGCTGAACTCTGCCTTATGTTTCGCCCTGTGGTCCAATTACACGACAGTACTACGTGTAGTTATGTTTTGACATTCTGGGTACTTGTCACGCACTGAATACTGAACAGCGCGACGTGTCTAGTGACAATGAAAGCGACAACCCGTGATGAGTTAATAAACAGTAATGAAAGATTTGACACTCTGGTGTTTGCTATAGAATAAGTTGAAGTGCAGAAACGAGCTTTTCCCTAGTTCGGCAAGTTCCGTAAAACACGGCGAATAGTAAAGAAGTGCTTCTGTGCGCAGTTTCATTAACCTGTACACTAGCATCCGCGTAACTCCATACAGGACAGATTATCGTTAACAGCTGCTGGTCTGAGTGACCATCGCTGAGACGAACACACGCAAGGCACAAAGACTGTGATGAACGGAATTCATCAGGCAAATACCACAGTAAACAAACAACACACCTAATGATGCAGTGTTGTCGGCACCGATGCATGGCTTCGTGGCGAATAAGTCATGGGCGCAACACCGTGATCCAAATGGTAACACGCCCAAGCACATACCCCCAGTGTGTACTGGGCACTCTTCATCAAGCCTCACATACACACCAGACACCACACGAGGCTTCACAGGGACGACAGGTACCACACCAAGCAACATATGCAGCCATGTTATACAATCCATACACCCCAGGTAGCAGCAACGAACAGATCAGTAACCCCAGCTGCAGAAAGAAAGGACCAGAAGCGATAACAATGAAGATCGGTTATCCTGCAAAGAAGTCAACGGAAGAGGTCCTAGAAGCACAAAAGTTCCAACAGTGAAAGAGAATAATTAGCAAGAAATAAACAAACATCCGTTAGCTACACATGAAGAACCGGCGATAGCCTCAATGAAACTCCAAGCCACCATCAGCAAGATCAACGGCTGGGGGAAGAAATGGCGAATTAAACCAAAGTAAATCCACGCATATTACATTCACCCTACGCAATCAAACCTGTCCCACAGTGTAAATGGGTAATGCTGCTCTGCCCCCCAAAAACGGAGTGAAATAACCTGGGCATGATCTAGATAGAAGGCTGACATGGACAAAGCACATCAAAACAAGAAAACAGCACAACCCAAAAACGAAACAGATGCACTGGCTCCTCGGGGGAAGATCGTCACTATCAATAGAAAGCAGACTTCTATACAGAGCAGTACTCAGACCCATATGGACCTGTGGAATTCAGCTATGGGGGTAGCATCAAATTCCAACCTCGAAATCCTTCAGCTCTTCCAATCCATTCTGAACGCACTTTGGCACATAACAACCACATGATCCGTGAAGACTTAAAGTGAGCCTAGTGCTCAGTGAAATGAAGAAGTGGAGTGCCAAATACTTAAGCAAATTAGAAAACCACGCTACTGGACAGTAGCGAATCTATACATACGTGTAGTTTGAAAAGGTACTCTTATCAGACAAGACTCGAGTACAACCACCAACACAAGCATGACAGTGATAACTAAGTGAACACTAACGAATATATGAGTGACTCCACTGGAAATAACTTATTCACGAGCCTATACTTACTTTACACATACATTTATTGTAGATTATGTATAATAAATATGCATTAAAGATCAAAATTTGGGTTATTTGAAGGTAAAATTATCCTTGTGCTTAATTGAATCCAGCGCCATAAATGTTTACAGATAAATATGATAGGTGAAGTTGTCCCTGTGCCGGTCACGGTAGCCGAGCGGTCTAAAGCATGCACTGTCTTCGCTCGCTCGGAAGCCGGGATCGTGGGTTCGAATCCCACTCAGGGCATGGATGTTTTTGTGCGTTTTTCTGTGTTTGTCTACAGGTAGAGGCCTTGCGACGAGCTGATCACTCGCCCAAGGAGTCCTACCGTATGTGTAAGATCTAGTAAACCGAAGTGAAACGGAGAGTTTCATGGAGGTAGGCCTAGGCCCAAATTGGGGCTGTAGCGCCACAGGGAAAAAAGTTGTCCCTGTGGGTAATTAATTAAGCATCACGCCATGGAGACGCATGGGGGAGTAGAAGTATAGTTCCACCATTCTTGACCTAGCAGTAGATGGAGGTGAACGGTCATCTTCGCGCCCCTTCCGCTTTACCCCAAAAGGAAGAGCTGCCAATGTGCATTGGATAGTAGGCTGATGGGCTTCAGCCGGTCTGGACGTTGTGGAGCAGATGAAAATCTCTTGCACCTGCCGGAAATCGAGCTCCGGCCGTCCTTAACGTCATTTATCCACTGCGCCATCCCGACTTCTATGTTTATGGCTGTAGAGATAAATTTCCAAACATACTGAAGTCACGGAAAGAAGTTCCATGGATGTTGGGGGATTAATGAACTAGGTCAGAATACTTTTTATAGAATGTTGTTACGAAGTATGTCGCAACGTAAGCCAGTTACGAATACTTTGCTTTCGATTATAAAACGACTTGCCAGTTAGGAAGATCTATTTTATAAAGTGGAAAAGTCCCATGAAATTCAACGGTGGAGCATTGATCTCCAGTGTTTGTTTTTCATCGCCGTTTCTTCCTTTCGTGTATCTCTTCCATAGCTGTACTTCATAACCTCACTTCTTCATTAAAACAACAAATTAAGTTACACCTTTATCCTTTAGACGGCAGTGAGTGGCCACAGCCTTGAATACCAGTAGTTCTAGTTGTTAACAGCCAGTGTGTGTCTGTGTAGCTGACACAGAAACCAGAACAGGAGCTGTGTGTGAGTTTAGACTAAAAGCTGTGATGTTTCTGATCTTTAAACTTTAGCTTCATAACTTCTGCAGTGCTAGGCCCGCTCCCTCCGTGATAGATTATAAGAATGCCCAAGAAGTCCGAGAGAACACGCCACTTTTTGCACATAAATCTCGCGATTGCACTTAATGTAATGTACGGGGAAGAGGGGAGAATGTGAGAATGTCTCTTGAGGCGGGCTCAGAGTCACAGAGAAGAGATGGCTCAGTCGGTAACGCTTCTGACGTGTATTAGGTGGATAACCCCGCTCGAATTTGGCCGGGATGCAGACTGACCTAACCAATGTTTCCTCTGAGTTGTACGCACGCGCGGCCGCATAGCGGCTGTCGAGTCTCGATTTCCCGCACAATTTAATTGGTTTAGTATATAGTCAGTTTAAATTAATAAAAATACAATTGAGGAATTAAACTACAGTTTGTTATTTTTTGGAAGCTTACAAATTTAATGTCTGTTACGGGCCTTTTTCGAAAATCGCTGCCCCCCCCCCNTGAAATGAAAAGACGTCTTGTTGATATCACTGTCTATTCATGTGAAGGCCCCTTGCACGACAGAACCTTCTCAATTCGTGAAGAAATGACTAATCACCATGTCCCTGTAGCATTCTTTGGTGACGGTAAGAGCATTACCTTCCTCATCCTCAATGAAATAGGGGCCTAATATACCGTGTGCTGAGACGGCAGACCATAGCGTCACACGTGTACTGTGTAGCGGTTTCTGGACGGTAACATCTGGCCGCTCAAAACCAAGGAAGCGAGTTGTCTGGCGACCACTTCCGTATGAGCGGAAATAATACTCAACTATGAGTAATTTTCCTCCCGTCGAGAGACCCATTTCCAACAACTGCATAACACAACTTCCTTTTTATTACTGGGAACACGTGCCGCTGGAGCTATGCCTCGTCGACAGACGCGCATGCGCGAGTTTAAGTACTGTAGTTTTAAATAACATCATGACCACTTCCTTCTTCATCCCTGCCAGTCATTAATTATGAAACTAGTCGATGCTGTAGAGGCTGACCTACTGACGTCGTTAACTAAACGATAAATGGAATAAATAAATACAAATGTATTCTGCATTAAAAGAAATTATATATTTGTAAAGTTTTAAGTCCTGGAGAGCGCAGTCGGTATAGCGACTGGCTACGTGCATAACGACCGAGGGGTCGGAGTTCGAGTGCCAGTACGGTCAAGAATTTTCTCCAAGTCGTCCAGACCGGCTATGGGGTCCACCCATCCTATTCAGTGGGTA